GCACTGAGAGAGTGTATAATATAGGTATTATAATAGTAAACCAATGGGGATTTATAATAAAGATACTAGAACAGTATAGTACTGGGAGGACATGTAATATAAGTTCTACAATAGTGCAGCATTGTACTGCACGGAGAGGTAATATAATATAGACACTGCACTGTATTATATTCGTACCATATCTGCTACACCCGGAGCATATAGGTATCAAATTAATTTAACAATCTAAATCCATTGATTTCAAGTACTTTTTAGGGACAATTTGTAAAGGTCTACAAAGATGAAATAGAAATATTGTTTTTATGTTTTAAACTCAGTTTACTTTGCTATTGTATTTCTTACAATAGCTCAACTTGAACAGGTGTGTTCCCTTGTTTTTAACTCTGCTTCATTATTTCAGTGCTTATTCTGAGTAAATCTATCAAGGTAAAGGTTGAGCAATCACAGAACTAACTTACCATTCTGTATTGATCAAGACAAAAAATAGGTTTCTTAGAAATTATGGACTGTGTACCATAAATCTGAAGCTGTCGTTTTGGCATGAATGTGTTTTAGTTTAAAACTTTGTATTTTGAGTTTTTGTATATGCATAGTCTTTGAGTGTGCAGTAGGATGTAATCTGATTACAACTATAACAGAAATGCATCAATCCTACAACATACATGTTGGTCTATAAAACTGTGAACTCCCCACAATGAATAGTATTTTTCTCGTGAATACCTTTCTTTTTGAATCCAACAATTTAGGCTCTCTTTTTGCTCCCAAATATTGTCCAGTTAACCCTTTACAGGGTTAATTTTACTGTACCTTATTGTTTAAAAAAATAATAATATATATATATATATATATATAAACAAAAATTAGGTATAAGGTACACAGGTCTTGATGAGAAGATTCTTTTATTTAGTGATGCAAATTACACGTGCAAACAAAGTTTTTTGATCGACGTTTCAACCCCTGTAGAGTCTTTTTCAAGATCTTTTGTTTGCGTGTGTAATTTGCATCACTAAATAAAAGAATCTTCTCATCAAGACCTGTGAGTGCACCTTATACCTATTTTTTGTTTATATACCAACACTGAGGTTTGCACCCAGGCAAGAACATTTATTATTCATTGCAACAGGGTGAGTGCCAAGACTACCTTTATATATATATATATATATATATTTGTATTTTACTCTCAATCTAGAGTTATTTTTAAAAGTGCTATCAACTCCAGGATATTTTATTGCTTCCCCCTTACACCTGCCAACAAATTGCTCTTACCATTACTGAGTGTCCGACTCCCTGTTCTCCATTCCTGTCCAATCTCTGCCCATCCACCTTGACTCTGATTGCTGTACGGAGTTCCACCCTTGGTCATGATGCCCGCTTGCTCTCCGTAACAGCTCCCTGCGGCCGAAGCCCGTCCATAAGCTGGTACAGTTGGGTATCCTGTCAACATCCCACCATGTGAAGCGGGCAGTGGTCTTCCAAGGATATCAGAAATGCCGTGGGGTGTCCCTGCAGGTAAGTGACATCCCAATACTGATGGACTCAGCTTATGAAAGGTAGCATGGGTTGGGAACTGACAGCCAGGGGTTTTGATTTCAGAGTATGGAGGCAGCATAAATGCTCCGGTGTGGTGTGTCTCCATATCTCTTAAAGGTTCCTTAGACGTTTTGTCCTCCCAATGTGGAACCAGTAAAGAAACTGGGATAGTACTCACAGCAGGTCAAACCCATGGAACTCTTTTAGATGTCTAATGGCTCTGGTCAAGGAATCTCCAATCGCTGCCTTGTCACCAATGGCTTCAAGCCCAAATGTTGTGCGGACTGCAGAGGCAGGGTGCTGGATAGGCAGTATCTGTGCTGTGTCAATGGCAATTTCCAGCTCTCTCACATTTGCATTTTTCTTAATGCCGTCTCTTTTCTTTATTTATTGTGCTCTCTTCCCTGTTCTCACTAGCTTTAGCCTTTCCTCTACATTATAACCTGCCCTGTTCTTTGTTTTTTATACATCTCAGTTTCCTTAACCCCTATCTTCTGCGGTCTGTTTTACACTTCTCTTGTTTCCTCACTTCTTTCTATTCCATGATCTACCTCTCCTCCTTCACCTTCCACATTTAGCCCTTTTTATGCTCTCTCCACAGCCCCTCTGTAAATCTCTGTCTCTCACTCCATCACTGTCTTTCTCAAACTCTCATTTCTCATGTTATGTCTGTCTGCCTCGGTCCTTCACTGTCTCTCTTGTTCCGTCGTCCCTTTCTTTTTCTCCTTTATCTTGCTCTCTCCCGTTATTGTTTTTCACTCTGTCACATTCTTTTTGCAATTCACATCTCTTTCGCTCAAGTTCTCCCTCAATTTTTCTTCTTCAGATCTTCAGTTTTCCCAAACTTGCTCATTCGCATCCCCCCTTTTTTTACATTTTCATTTTGTTTTTATAAAATGTACAGAACCCTCTCATTCCTAGCAACCTCACTCTTTTGATGACTTTCCTATAAACTCTCTATATTTTCCTTTACGTCCCTACACCTTTTATTCTCACTTGTCCTCTTCACATTGACTGATAATTTGTCCAGTCCTTGTTGATCTCTCTCTCTCTCTCTTTTTTTCCCTTTGTTTTAACCTCTTTCCTATTTTCTAATCAACAACTTTCCCTCTTCTTATAATCCTTCTCGACAATAGATAAGGGCAAAACACAAATACATATTACCTTCCCATTGAATCCCCCTCCCCTGCGTGATGCAGTCCTGTTGGCTGGGGTGATGGGTGAAGGGCACTGATTGGCCTCTCCCTCACAGCCTGCTAAATGTGCCTTAGATAAATTGAACTTTAAGATAGCGATTTAATGAGTTTGATTTTTCCACAGAGATGTTTGTCCACAAGCTGAAGCCACCCATGCCTTTTAATACAAATAATAGGATTTATTGTAAAGTAATAGATTGCAGTTCACAGCCCTATAACTTCAATTCAAATGTGCCATTAATTTCTTCAGCTGCTTGTTTTATTGATAATTTTAGTGAGGTTGTCCATATCGTGCTCCCATGTTTAAAGGGACACTCTAGGCACCAAGACCACTTCAGCTCATTGAAGTGGTCTGGGTGCTGTGACCCTTTTGCACTTAGTGCTGCAATGTTAAACATTGCAGTTCCAGAGAACTGCAATGTTTACATTGCAGCTCTAAGTCTGCCCTCAGTGGCTGTCTGCCAGAACTGGATCTCCAGACTGTGTATGACTACATTGATCAAATTCAAAGCAAGTCTGTTTATTGGACACTAGTCTTAGGAATACAAAGCTTTATTCTTAACACTAAGTTTCCCTGCGCGCCCCCTCATCCAACGGCACTCAAAGGGTTAAATAATTTTTAAAACATTCACCTTATTCCAGCCCAAAGTCTCTTCGCACTGGCTTCAATACTGCCCCCTCGGACATAATCACAGCGGGAAACTTAATGCGCATGCGCGGCGAGTGCTGCACCCACATTAGGCCTTCTCCATTGGAAAGTATTAACCCCTTAACTCTGTTACGGTGTTCTATGCCATCCCCATTATAATGGGCTTTAAAGCCGTTGCTGGGGCATAGAATGCCGTAACGGCTTTCTACCCCAGGAGCTCCACGGTACTTACCTTCACCGCGATCCTCTTCGAGAGGACTGCCTCAAAGAGCGATCACATGGCCCCCTATAGCTGGCTGTGGATCTGCCAGCAGGGGGATTGTCCCCCTGCTGGTGGGAAAGTAAAAAAAAAAAATATTAATACACATGTTAAAATAAATTTAATGTCTGTGTATATATATATATATATATATATATATATATATAATATATACATCTTATATATATATGAAACGTCATACGTAGTGTATTTTAATATTAATATAAGTACATATATTAGTATTAAAATTCACTTAGAATGAAGTTACATATATATAAGATATATATATATTATATATATAATACATATACATGCATATATTATATTTATATATATATATATATCTATATATACGTATAATTACAATAATAAATAAAATTAAATAAATAAAATATTTTTAAAAAATTAAATGAATTATTATTATGTAATTTCATTCTAACTGTATTTTGTTATTAATATTGGTAACAAAATACACTTAGAATGACATTCTATATATATCTATCTATATATAAAATATGAACAAACGCAAATATATATATATATATAGATAAATATATATGATTACATAAATGATTACATAAGTATACACGTAGAATTTAAATACATATATATGTATATTTGTGTAAGGGGCTAAGTAATCGTATAAGGAGTGAAGTTCCAGTAGGAACTTGGAATAGTATAAAAGAGCAAGTCGGTTGTGGTGTGCCGATACCGACGATACGGTAGGCCTGTAAATAAAGAGGGCCCACCATGGAGTAAGTAAGTAAAGTAAATGGAAAGAAAAGAGAAAGTGTTGAAATGAGGAGTGGGTGGGAGGGGCATTCAGACGCTGACCTTGATCGGTAAGGAGTCAGGTAAGAGGTGTAGCTTATGTAGGGGAGTAAGTTAACTTAAGCCCCTCCCACAAATACAGGCCAAACGGCCTTACTACTTGTGTAAGGGGCTAAGTAATCGTATAAGGAGTGAAGTTCCAGTAGGAACTTGGAATAGTATAAAAGAGCAAGTCGGTTGTGGTGTTCCGATACCGACGATACGGTAGGCCTGTAAATAAAGAGGGCAAAAGTGAAGAACAAAATATTTATTACAGTCAACAATATATACAATTAACCAGATATGACTTTAAATGCATTTCTTAATTCTTGTGTTGGTTTGGGTATATATGTAGTATAGGCGGATGATTTCCAACGTCCCAAGGACTTGATGACGTGTACTGGTACGTTGGCGCTGGATGCGGAGGAGGCTGCTCCTATGCGAAACGAATGACCAAAGTAGTGAGAAGGTTTGAGGCCCAGCATTGTTAGCAGGGATCGTATATATCTCATGAATGCTGTGGTGGTGAGTACTGCGTGTTGCAGTTTGAATAAAGGTTGTGATGGTAGTGCTGTGGTGTTAAGAAGATAGGCGTCTAAGGCTGCTACTGGACACCACTTGTTTAGGGTAGGGTAATATGTGATCTCTACTGGATTCGCATGTTGGCTTGTCTTTGACTGGGGTAAAGAGAGTATGTAGTGGTCGCCATGTTTTTGTAGGTGCTTGTGTAGCAGGCATCTATCCTTTTGAGTAGTTGTGACAGTGGTGAACTCCCTTGGCCTGAGGAACCCGTAGAAGGCTGTGTACATAGCTGTTTTAATGACCGAATTGGCGGTAGAGTGGAAAGGTCTGGAATCTAGTAGATCGGATAATGACTGAAAAAGTTTATTATCTATAGGTAATCGCTGTGGTGGTCGTGGAGGTACGGATTTTTGGATACCTCTGAGTATATTCTTTACCTGGTATGACGACATGAAGCTATGTGTGTTAGGTCTTAGGGTTAGCATGTGATGTTGTATGCCTGTAAGATATAATTTAATTGTGTTATATGATAAGTGTAATTTAAGGTGGCAAAAGGAAGTGAAAGCTATGACAGATGTCATGACGAATGGTTCTGATATGTCGTGATCGGCGAGAAATCTGTTAAATAGTGTAAAGGCTCTGTTATATGTAGTGTGAGTGTTGTGTGATAGTGCTAGTGTGGCTAGATCCCTACTATGTTGCATGATTATATCTAGTCCATGATTAGTTGTGAGAACGGAGGGGCGACTGTGGCTGCTTGAGCGGCTGACGGGTGTGCTTGTCGAAAAGCCTGAAAATTAAAACGAGACATGTTGTCAGCTGCTATATTACTAATACCTGGTACATGAAAGCAAACCAAGTAGAAGTTATGACATGCTGCCAACCACGTGAGTTTTCTAAGAAACCTCATGATTGTAAGGGATGATGAACGGCCTTTGTTGATTATGTGACATGTGGCTTGATTATCTGAGTGGCAACGAACAGACAAGCCTGACCATTGGTGTCCCCATGCCACAGCAGCCGCTACAATAGGGTAAATCTGGAAGAGAGCTGAGGTTGTAAAAAAGCCTTCTAAGTCACGGACTTCTTCGGGCCACTTACCCCAAAGCCATTTGTTACCAAAGATGGCTGCAAAACCCTTGTTGGATGCTGCGTCTGACCATATGGTTGGGGAAGTGTCTGATAATGCAGGGAGGAACAAACTTTTACCATTCCAGATGGTCAAGAACCTCTTCCACATTTGTAGGTCTGCTGTGGCTTGTAGATCCATGGATAGTCTGTGGTTCTCATGTTGAAAGTGGGGAAAAAGACAAAGCAGTCTGGATATGAAAGCCCGTCCTTGAGGGATGATGCGCATGGCGAAGTTTAAGGAACCCATAAGGGACTGGAGTTCCTTGCGATTGCAAGTACCCAGGAAAATGTAGTGATTTATGCTGTTGATAATGTTTTCAATTTTGTCGTGTGGTAAGCTGGCTTGCATGGATGCAGAGTCGAGTTGTATGCCCAGGAATGTAATGATGGTGTCTGGACCTTCAGTTTTCTTGAGAGATACTGGGACACCCAAGTGGTTGAATAGATTAATGGCTTCTTTAAGACTACTGGGCGGAAGTGAGTTCCCTTCTATCATCAGAAAATCGTTGAGGTAATGGATGACTATGGGGCATCTTGAAACGTTTAGTAGTAAGCAGCAAAGTGTTTCAGCAAAAGTGTCAAAAATCTTTGGGCTACTTTTTGACCCAAAGGTTAAGCGGGAGAAGAAATAGTATTTTTCTGCCCATTTTATACCATGTAGGTGCCAGAGTGTGGGGTGGATTCAGTGGCGTACATACCAGGGTCGCAGGGGTCGCGGCTGCGACCGGGCCCGGCCCACCAGGGGGCCCGGCCGCCCCTGCAACCCGGTATGTACCCACAGGGCCAGCCTCTTCCCCTGGGGGACCCAGGAGCCGACCACCCCAGGGCCCCCTGAGGCTGGCCCTGCTGACACCCGGAAGGCGGGTGGCCGGTCGGGCAGGCAGGCGGGCGCGCGAGGGAGCACTCAGTGCTTCCTCTTCAGCTCCCTCGCACACCGCACTGATACCAGAGCCGGAAGATGACGTCATCTTCCGCCGCCGGCATCCCTGCGCGGCGCGTGAGGGAGCTGAAGAAGAAGCACTGAGTGCTCCCTCGCGCGACCGGCCACCCGCCCAGGAGCCCAGCAGCACCACTGGACCCCAGGGAATCCCCCCAGCACTCCAAAAGGTAAGGAGGCTGGAGGGATTACATTTGAAAAAAAAAAAAACTAGTGTTAGTGTTTGAGTGTGTGTGAGTGTTAGAGTGAGTGTTAGTGTGTGTGTCTGCTAGTGAGTGTTAGTGTTAGTGTGAGTGTTAGTGTGAGTGAGTGTTAGAGTGAGTGTTAGTGTGTGTGTTAGTGTGAGTGTTAGAGTGAGTGTTAGTGTGTGTGTCTGCTAGTGAGTGCTAGTGTGAGTGTTAGTGTGAGTGAGTGTTAGAGTGAGTGTTAGTGTGTGTGTTAGTGTGAGTGTTAGAGTGAGTGTTAGTGTGTGTCTGCTAGTGAGTGTTAGTGTGTGTGAGTGTTAGTGTGTGTGAGTGTTAGTGTGTGTGTCTGCTAGTGAGTGTTAGTGTGAGTGTTAGAGTGAGTGTTAGTTTGTGTGTCTGCTAGTGAGTGTTAGAGTGAGTGTTAGAGTGAGTGTTAGTGTGTGTCTGCTAGTGAGTGTTAGTGTGAGTGTTAGTGTGTGTGAGTGTTAGAGTGAGTGTTAGTGTGTGTGTTAGTGTGAGTGTTAGAGTGTGTGTCTGCTAGTGAGTGTTAGTGTGTGTGAGTGTTAGTGTCAGTGTTAGTGTGTGTGAGTGTTAGTGTGTGTGTCTGCTAGTGAGTGTTAGTGTGAGTGTTAGAGTGAGTGTTAGTTTGTGTGTCTGCTGGTGAGTATTAGTGTGAGTGTGAGTGTTAGTGTGTGTGTCTGCTAGTGAGTGTCAGTGAGTGTGTTACTGTGTGTGTCACTGTGTGTGTCTTACTGAGTGTGTGTGTTAGTGAGTCTGTTTGATGTCTTAGTGAGTGTGTGTTTGTCAACGAGAGTGCATGTTTTGTAAGTGAGTGTGTATGTATGTCTGTCGCTGACTGTGTCTCTGTCAGTAAATGTGTGTGTCTGTTAGCTAGTGTGTATGCGTCTGTAAGTGTGTGTGTCTTCAGCACTTACCTTTCTCCAGCGCCGGACTCCCTTGGCGCTAGGGATCCCTCAGCCTCTCAGCTCCGAATGCGACCGCGCACGCATTCAAACCGCCCATAGGAAAGCATTACTCAATGCTTTCCTATGGACGTTCAGTGTGCTCCTCTAGCGGCTGTCGTGAGACAGCCACTAGAGGCTGGATTAACCCTCAGTGAAACATAGCAGTTTCTCTGAAACTGCTATGTTTTCAGCTGCAGGGTTAAAACTAGAGGGACCTGACACCCAGACAACTTCACTGAGCTGATGTGATCTGGGTGTCTGTAGTGGTCCTTTAACCCCTTAAGGACACATGACATGTGTGACATGTCATCATTCCCTTTTATTCCAGAAGTTTGGTCCTTAAGGGGTTAAAGGGCCACTATAGTGCCAGGAAAACATACTCGTTTTCCTGGCACTATAGTGCCCTGAGGGTGCCCCCACCCTCAGGGACCCCCTACCGCCCAGCTCTGGAAAGGGGAAAAGGGGTAAAACTTACCTTTTTCCAGCGCTGGGCGGAGAGCTCTCCTCCTCCGATCCTCCTCCTCTTCTCCTCCCCGTCGGCTGTATGCGCACGCGCGGCAAGAGCTGCGTGCGCATTCAGCCGGTCACATAGGAAAGCATTCATAATGCTTTCCTATGGACGCTGGCGTGCTCTCACTGTGAAAATCACAGTGAGAAGCACGCAAGCGCCTCTAGCGGCTGTCAATGAGACAGCCGCCAGAGGAAATAGGGGAAGGCTTAACCCATTCATAAACATAGCAGTTTCTCTGAAACTGCTATGTTTATGAAAAATGGGTTAACTCTAGCTGGACCTGGCACCCAGACCACTTCATTAAGCTGAAGTGGTCTGGGTGCCTAGAGTGGTCCTTTAAGTGTGTGTGCATCTGCATGCACTGGCGTACATACCGCGGTCGCAGCCCTGTAACCCCTGCGACCAGGTGCCCACCGCCATGTGTTGCGGCCCTCGCGCGCGGGGGGGGCACGGATCAATTTTCGCACCGGGGCCCCATGGGTCATGTGTACGCCACTGGGTGGATTGGTAGCAGTTTGAAGGCATTTGTAATGTCCGTCTTACTTAACCAAGCTCCAACCCCAGTTTGTGTGATGGCTGTAATGGCGTGATCAATGGTGGCGTATTGAAGGGAAAATTCTTCAGAGGGAATGAGGGAGTTGAGACTTGGGGAGGTGGAGGTATGAGGGGCTGAAAGATCAATAATGAGTCTTTGTTTGAGGGAAGTTTTTCCTGTGACCGTCCCGATGGGGTTTGCACGCCATGATGTAAATGGTGGGGTTGCGAACGGTCCAAACAAAAACCCTTCTGCCAGTTCTTGTGCTATTAGTGTATCTACTGCTGTTGGGTTCTGGTTTGCAGACTGTAAATTTGGGCATTCTAATTGGCCAGTGGGCATATGTATGATGCCTGTGTGGAACCCATCCTTGAATCCTGTGATAAGGAACTCTACCAGATGTCTGGAGGGGTGATTGGCTAGTAGTGCTGCTAGAACATCAATGTTAACAGACGTAAGGTATGGTTTAGGGTACATTTTATTTGGACACATGGATTTGGCATGTGCCCTGAAACATTGTGAACAAATATGCAACAATCTACATGCACTAAAACTACATGTGCCACAGTTAAAATTATTGCAAATCTGTGATTTGCCGAACAAATGATGGGACGGCCCAGTTTGTCTCTGGCGTTCTTCCCTGTTCTACCAGCGTAGCTAGTGCTGGGTGCCTGACTGTGTTCGTCTACCGTGCTAGAACAAAATTTTGTGGTGTGTGTAGTAGAAGAGCAGGATACACAAGCCGGTGTTTTAAGCCCTGCGAAGTGTCTGCAGAAAATTTCTGTGTCCAATCTGCTCCAGTTGATACGCGTACCATACTGGGAGAGAGCGCCAGACACTTTGGTGGAAAATGACCTATGGTAGTCGTAAAACACCGACCCACCATATTTGTTACCCAGGTCCACCAGCTTGTGCATGTAACGATCAAATTCCTCTCTTCTATTAGGGTACACTTCACACATAACATCTCTGAATATACCAAAGGCTAAGACAAATTCCGGGATGGTCAGTTTATGGTTCAACCTAGAGTCTTTAGATCTGACCACCACAGATACCTCATCATACATATAAGTCTTGTTTTCTACCACATCCTGGGAGGCAATTAGTAAGGATGCTAGGTTGACATCTTTGCCCTCCAGGATGTCTTTCTTGATGTGGGCTGGGATAGTGTGTGCCGGATCAACGTCCTGGAAATCTGACGAATTAACGTTACCCGTAGCCCGTGGTTCGATTGGTGCCGGTTGTACGGTGTCGGGAAGGCCTGCCTTGGTGAGGGCTGTGGTCACCGCCTCGAGGTTAGCCAATCTGTCATTGACCTTGCCCATGGAGCTCATGAGTGAGGCCAGCATAGCCTGGATGTCCCCTGAATTGGTAGTGCTGGGGCCTTCCCCTGCTTCCGTATTGTTTGTAGTCGTGTTTAGGAGTTTGAATAACTCCGCTTTCCTTGCAGTAGCAGGGGGGGGAACTTGACGTCTCCTTAACTCTGTTGTAATGCGCGGTATTGTCCAGGATCTGATTGACGCTGGACTGGCCATATCTCCCCTGTGAGAAGGTGTCTCGTCCCTAGCTGGGGTGCTAGGAAACGATAGCTCTTCACCACTTGCATGAGACATGTTTAACTAAAAATAAAGGTACAATTATTATTTGAACCAGGTGTTTTAGTACTAGCTATGCCGTAAGGCGAAACGATTATGCTTAGGTTTGTGACTGGTGAGGCCAAGTGGCTTGAGAGGCTCTATCTATGCGTTGGCGCGATGGAATTTTGTGTGGCCACCGATCGTAGTAGCAGGATGATGGCCTCTCGGTGAGATTACTAAGAAAAAGGGTCTGGGAGTGACTGGTGAGGCCCTCTCTATGAAACTTGCGAGGCGACTAGCTCACGAGTGGCTCGAGGGATGTATGCCTCCGTGTATGAGGCGGGTTTGTTGGCCTCGCGGGACCGCTAATCCGAAGCATAATGCACAGAGGGGGATATAACAGCTATTGGCCCCTATGACCCTATCTGCCAGTACTTATCTATTATTAGGGGATCATATTTGGATATACTGTGAGCAGGTGTACGTACCTGGAAGTATTTTTAAAGAATTTTTTAGACACTCCGTTTAGGTGGCAGTGGATACCTGTAACTAAATAGATGGAAACCGTATGAAAATAAATACAATGCATGAATTATTCTTCTCATGTTTATCTGTTCGCCCTGGAGAGATCAGTGGGGTTGATAATTGTAGGATATCCGAGAGTACAACTATAATTATGTTATGTGGTATTTTAACTGTAACGATTGGCTATTTATTACCTAAATATGTGTTTGTACTTTATCGTTTGGTACTTGTAGGGTCATAGTTTGTACCACCCTGTAATATGATGATGTATGTATGCCATATGTTCATAAATGTGATTTGAACATGATCTAAGTTTATACGTATAGACAATCATAGTGCGCTAAACCCAGTAATCAAAATTGAAAAAGTTGGGCATACCATGTACCATTAACGGCGCAGTTGGCATATGCCTGTATGACCTAATAAACAATAACTAGCAATGAATAATTGTGCCATGTAGCTCGTTTTGTAGTGTGTTTAAGAAATTTGTTCTCCTGACGTATGTAATAGAGTAAGACCTTAGTGTCAGGATTAGTATGTAATGATACTTGAATTACTTATGATCTGTAGGGGTCGGAGTATATGAAACCCTTAAGCTATTATGTAGAATGACCTGTACCCTTTAAAGTAGGTAATACTCAAATGCAATATATGTTTAAACCCGACACCAAGCCTGTTCATGCGTTTAACCGTACAAACAGGACAAATATATATGTGTACCATGTGTGACTGTACGGACGTATACTCAGTTCGGTATGCAGAGATATGAAAATGTTTAATGTCTCTCGTTCGTGTATTTGAACCACACGAACCGGCCATAACTGTCTGATAGTAGGCTAGTAATTAATGTAAATAGTGAGGTGTAGACTGTGATGGTAACAGGCAGGCAGTAAATAGGGGTCCCGTTGGAAGGTTAAATGTGATGCCCGTAACGTGGTTAAATGGTACTGTTATCGGCTGTACCCATACTGGAGAATGCAAAAACCGTAACGGTGATTGATTGCCATATGGGCAAGTGTAACCGCTTAGTGGCAAGGAACCAGTAGAGGTGAATGATTGAAACCGTTCGCGGTACGAATTTTGGATGTGTGTTACAAGTTATATGAATACATAGACTCTATTCGTTCTGTTGTACCGCACGAACGGAGGAGTCATAAAATAACTATTTAATCGAGTTTCCTGATCTGGACTATGCGAACACATACATACGAAAGGTACATAGAAATGCATGGTAGTTTATACCCGAACCGCAAGATGCACGAATGGTTTGCATAGAGATTTAGGATGTGACAGTCGAAACCTATAGTGACCGTAAAGTGAGGACCTGACCCGTGACCGATGCCGTGGGACTGTTGCCTGGCGTAATGGGTGGTCAACTTACGGTTTGCGAGTCACTGGGATGTGATCTGCGGCGATGAAAGAAGCGAGAAGCTTGGTCGGACGGAAAAAGGCCTGCTGCTGAGTTCCTGGACGCAGTTTCAGCGTGGAAGACCTCGCGAGAAGACGGAAGTATTCCAAAATGGCGACTGGATGAACCGGAAGTGCATTCAGACGCTGACCTTGATCGGTAAGGAGTCAGGTAAGAGGTGTAGCTTATATAGGGGAGTAAGTTAACTTAAGCCCCTCCCACAAATACAGGCCAAACGGCCTTACTACATATTAAAATTCTACATGTATATTTAAGTAATCTTTTAACGTAATCATGTGATTTAATTAATTAAAATTTGATTGACGTGCCTGACAACCCAGGCAGAAAGTGCAGAGAATTTAATTCGTAAGCACTATATTTAACCCTGTAAATTTACAAGACACCATAAAGCCTGTACATGGGGGGTACTGTTTTATTGGGAGACTTCACTGAACACAAATATTAGTGTTTCAAAATGATAAATTGTATTACAACAATGATATTTTCAGTAAAAGTGAAGTTTTTTGCATTTTTCACACACAAACGGCACTTTTACTGACGATATTATTGTTGTAATATGTTTTACTGTTTTGAAACACTTATGTTTGTGTTCAGTGAAGTCTCCCAAGTATAACAGTACCCCCCATGTGCAGGTTTTATGGTGTTTAGGAAAGTTAGAGAGTCAAATTCCATTTTTCATAATAAAATTTGCCAGATTAGTAATGTTGCCTTTAAGACCATATGGTAGCCCAGGAATGAGAATTACCCCCATGATTGCATACCATTTGCAAAAGTTCCCCCACCGCTCATAGCTGGGGGTTGGGGGGGGACAATAGGGCCTTCCCCCTCCTATTTTCACTAGGGCCTCCACCCGCCGCTCATGGGTGGGGGCCAGGGGGTGACAATAGGTCCCCCCCCCATTTTCACTAGGGCCCCACCCACCGCTCATGGGTGGGGACAATAGATGTCCCCACCCCTATTTTTACTAGGGCCCCCACCCGCTGCTTATGGGTGGGGGCCAGGGGAGGCAGTAGGCCCCCCCATTGTATCTGAGGGCCCACCCGCTGCTCATTGATGGTGACTGAGGGGGGGCACTAGGTCCCCCATTTAGTTTAGTGGTCTCCACTCGTGGTGCACGAGTGGGGGTCCCCATGGATTATTTTTACACCCTGTTCCAAATGATTATGCAAATTATATTTTTCTCAGTTACCTAAATAATTGATGTAAATAACAGTCAGCATAATTCTCATGTTATCAACTATTAAGAGTACAATTCAAATTTTATTGAACAAACCTCCTAATGATAACAGTATTTTTTTTTAAACATAAAAAACTTACAATGCACTGTTCCAAATTATTATGCACAGTAAGTTTCAAAACACTTTATAGGTTGTAAAGAACTGAAAATTGTCATTTGTTGTGTTTGCAGCATATTTACTGAAATCAAAAGCTATTTCAATCAAACTTATAACAACATTTTAACTTTTTAAACATTTTAACGGGTCATGTTACATTTTAACATAGGACCCCTTATTTGATAGCAGCTTCACAAGTCTTGCATCCATTGAACTTTCGAGTTTTTGGACAGTTTCTGCTTGAATTTGTTTGCAAGATGTCAGAATAGCCTCCTAGATCTGCTGTTTGGATGTAAACTGCCTCCCACCCTCATAGATCTTTTGCTTGAGGATGCTCCAAAGGTTCTCAATAGGATTGAGGTCATGGGAGGATGGAGGCCACACCATGACTTTCTCTCCTTTTATCCACATAGCAGCCATTGATGCAGAGGTATTCTTTGCAGCATGAGATGGTGCATTGTCATGCATGAAGATGATTTTATGACAGAAAGCATTGTTCTTCCTTCTTTACCAGGGAAGAAAGTGGTCAGTCAGAAACTCCACATACTTTGCAGAGGTCATCTGTACACCTTCGAGGACCCTAAAGGGGCTGACCAGCTCTCTTCCCATGATTCCGGCCCAAAACATGACTCCACCACCGCCTTACTGACATTGCAGCCTTGTTGGAACAGGGTGGCCGTCCACCAACTATCCACTACTCCATCCATCTGGACCATCCAGAGTTGCACGGCACTCATCAGTGAACAGGACTGTTTGAAAATTAGTCTTCATGTATTTTGCTGCCCAATGCAGCCGTTTTGAAGGTTTATGCACAGTTGCAAGACTCTGGAGGACTCTACACCTTGATGTCCATGGGACTCCAGAGGCACCAGAAGCTTCAAACATCTGTTTGCTGCTATGTAATGGTATTTTAGCAGCTGCTCTCTTGATCTGATGCATGGATCTGGCAGAAATCTTCCTCAATATGCCTTTATCTGCATGAACCCGTCTGTGCTCTGAATCAGCCACAAATCTCTTAATAGTGCGATGATCACGCTTAAGTTTTCGTGAAATATCTAATGTTTTCATACCTCGTCCAAGGCATTGAACTTTTTCACTCTTTTCGGCAGCAGAGAGATCATTTTTCTTCCCCATATTGCATTATTATTATTATTGCCATTTATATAGCACCAACAGATTCCGTAGCGCTTTACAATATTATGAGAGGGGATTTAACTATAAATAGGACAATTACAAATAAACTTACAGGAACAATAGGTTGAAGAGGACCCTGCTCAATCGAGCTTACATTCTATAGGAGGTGGGGTGTAAAACACATTAGGACAGGAATTTGCAATCAAATAAGGTGGGCTGCCCTTTAGGAGAGGGCAAGAGACAGGTATGTGAGGTAGGGGTTAGTCTTGGAGACCATAAGCTTTCCTAAAGAGATGGGTTTTAAGGCACTTCTTAAAAGATGCAAGACTAGGGGAGAGTCTGATGGCTGGAGGCAGGCTATTCCATAGGAAGGGAGCCGCCCGCGAGAAGTCCTGCAAGCGCAAGTTGGCTGTACGGGTGCGGACAACGGACAGGAGGAGGTCACGGGCAGAGCGGAGAGACCGAGAAGGGACATACCTATGGATCTGTGAGGAGATATAAGAGGGGCTAGAGTTGTTCAGTGCTTTATAGGTGTGAGTTAGTGCCTTGAATTGACTCCTATAGCACACAGGAAGCCAATGTAAGGACTGGCAGAGGGGTGAGGTGTGAGAGAACCGACTAGAGAGGAAAATCAGTCTAGCAGCAGCGTTCATTACAGACTGTAGGGGTGCAGTACGGCTTTTGGGAAGACCAAGCAGGAGAGGGTTACAATAATCCATGCGGGAAATTACTAGAGCATGGACAAGCTCCTTGGTAGTATCTGGTGCAAGAAAGGGGCGGATGCAGGCTATGTTTTTAAGATGGAATCTACAGGATTTGGCAACATGCTGGATGTGAGGCTCAAAGGTGAGACCAGAGTCAAGTATGACGCCAAGACAGGGCGCTTGCAAGGATGGCCTGATGTTGGTACCACAAACTTGAAGGGTGAGCGAAAGAGGAGGATCAGTATTGGGAGGAGCTCAGTTTTTGACAGATTGAGTTTCAGAAAGTGGGAGGACATCCAGTCAGAGATGGAAGAAAGGCAAGCAATGACACGTTGCAGGACAGCAGGGGAGAGGTCCGGGGAGGAGAGATATAGCTGGGTGTCATCAGCGTACAGGTGGTAGTGGAATCCAAATGAGGTAATAAGTTTGCCAAGAGAGGCAGTAAAAAGAGAAAATAGAAGGGGACCAAGGACGGAGCCTTGGGGGACTCCAACCGAGACAGGGCGAGGGGAGGAGGTATCATTAGAAAAAGAGACACTGAATGAGCGTTGGGAGAGATAAGAGGAAAACCATGAGAGGACAGAGTCACAGAGACCAAACGATTGCAGAGTTTGAAGAAGGAGAGCATGATCAACGGTGTCAAAGGCCGCTGAGAGGTCAAGAAGAATTAGTATGGAGTAGTGGCCTTTGGATTTAGCTGCGATTAGGTCGTTAGTAACTTTGATAAGGGCAGTCTCTGTAGAGTGGAGAGGGTGGAAGCCAGATTGAAGGGGGTCAAGGAGAGAGTTGGAATTGAGGAAATGAGACACACGGGTAAAGACAAGTCTTTCCAGAAGCTTTGAGGAAAAAGGGAGCAGGGATATGGGACGGTAGTTAGAGGGGGTGGACGGGTCGAGGGATGTTTTTTTTAGTATAGGTACTACAGTGGCATGTTTAAGGTCAGTAGGGACAGAAGAGAGCGAGCAGTTGAAGATGTGTGTTAGAGAAGGCACGAGATCTGATAAGGTGAGATGGGACAGGATCGAGCGGGCAAGTGGTGGGGCGAGAGGAGCAAAGAAGAGCAGCCACCTCTTGGTCAGTGGCTGAGGAGAATGTCTGAAGGGTAGGAAAGGCATGATCTATGTGTGATTGCATGAAAATGGTGCTCTGCTTAATAATAATAACTCCTTTAGTAGTTTTTCCTTAAATTGGGCTCACCTGGCAATCTAATTATCACAGGTGTCTGAGATTATCAAACGAGCCCTGAGACACAATGCCATCCATGAGTTAAACTAAAAAACTAAATATTTAATCTTTGTGACACTTAAATAGAATTTGCATAATAATTGGAACAGGGTGTAAAGGTGCCCCACAGGCTGCTTACTGTATTGTAGACATGCTCCTACTCGCGGTATAGCGAGAAGGGGCAGAAGAGAGAATTTAATCTCCCTTAATTACTAATACTAAGTAATCTTTAAAAGGATCGGAGTTTCATTCATTCAAATGAAATTCCAATGCAAACAAAAACTCCTGAATTGCGTCCTAACACGAATGGACAAACTGTTTTCATTCTTTTAGAAAGAAATTCGGTAGTTTCGCTGGCATTCTAACGCTGAATGAAGCAGCAGGAGTCAAAGCTGGTCAAGCGTAGGAAAAATACATAAGACAAAATAGTCCCTACTTTCTCTTATATTTTAAACAAAACTAGAGCAGATAGGGAGAAATGAAGAACAGATCCTGAGAGAGGGAAAGAAAAGGAATCGTCATGACAGCACTGCTTTAAATTATGCATTTTGTTATTAGAGTTATAACTAAAAACAGCTTGCAAGACTGCAGATTTCTTATCTGCTGGCATTAAAAGCTATCCCCTTCTTTTATATAAATTCTTTATTTTCGGTTTTGCATAAGTATTGTTACTAACAAGTAGACAACATGTTGGTACATCGTTTACAGTAGTTCTCGTAACAATTTCGCTTCATTGTCCGTGGATTTAGTAGTGCGGGCTACTAGTTGAGTGCGGCTCTGGGTGTATCTCGTGTCCAACATGTATGTCCCTTTTCGTTGTTTTGTGTTAGGTAGGGGTAAACTGGGGTGTGAGGTCAATGGGTCTGTCGGGTGGGAAAGGAGGGGGGTGTGTAGTTTGTTCCCCTGCTCTTTGGCCTCCTCTTCGTTGGTGGTTGCATGTACATATCCAGTTGGGTTTGGGAGGGGGCTCGGCTGAGCCGTGGAGGGGGGGGGTGGTTTCAGTGGTGGGTATAGGGTACCTATGATAGGCTTCGCTGTCGTTGGTGGTGTGGGAGTCGGGGGACGAGGTGGTTCCTCTGTGCGTGCTCGCCCTATCTGTGTCAGTATATTGTCAGTTGGCCGGGGTTGGTGATGGGGGCCAAGCGTTCTTGGTGTTGCGTCCTATCCTCGGTTGGGTTGGTGTCGTTCTGTGGGGCCGCTTAAGTCAGTGTCGTGTTAGGCTTATGGACTAGTCTCTAAGCTGGTTTTCGTTTCGGGAAAGTGGTGCCTCTTTGGTCCGTTCGGTCCACGAGGCTGTGTTGGTCCGAGGGTTAGGGTCAGGGGGTTGGTGTGTTTTAGGTGTCGTCGTACTCCCCCCGCTTCCGGTCACTCCTCCTCCTCCGGCGTCTAGGGGGGTTCGGGTCAGGAGGTCTCATGTCTTGTCTTGTCTCGTCTCCCCCCGGGCGTCCCCCCGCGCCCCCCGGGTCCCCCGCTGGGCGGGGGTTTGTAGTGGGGTGGGGTGTTGGGGGACTGGCGGCACTGGTAGGGGGGGGTATAGGGAGGTGCGGGTGTCTCTTGGTTAAGCTGGGGCATACTTCCCTAACGGGTCTACGGGTTGTTGGGGTGAAGGGACGTGCGATGACTGTCGCTAAGGGGTGTGGTTAGGTCGCTTCGGGTGTGGGTTGTGGCAGGTGATTCATGTCCCAGAGGTCCCAGGTTTTATGAAACGCTTTGTAGGAGTCGTGTATCTGAGCGGTTAGTTCGTCCAGATCTCTGGTTTCTTTGATCTTGTTGATGATGGTGGAGGTTGTAGGGGTGCGGTGGTCTGCCCATCTCTCCGCAATTGCCCTACGAGTTGCCAATGTTATTCTGGCGGCTAGTTTGTTTTCGCTTCTTGTAAGGGAGTCTAGTGGTTTGTTAAGTAGCAT